TTGTATCCCAGTGTCCTATTCTCTTTCTTCGTAGTGTTTTATTTTTTTTCACACGTGACTTGACGAAATTTTTGGCGGCTTAGTGCATTCTTTTCGTGTACTCAGTAAAGGATCCATACCATTAGTAGATCGATAACCCCTATGAATAACTGAATACGAATCAACCTTTAAATTTTTAGTACTTTTATCGAAATGTTTTACTGTGAGATAGGTAATGCCGATATATGTGAAGCGTTCGAGCGTTACTGATAATGGCAGCCTTTCACTTTCACTTCAAGGTGGGCAGTAAACTAAAATTGCCATTTTATACTGTTTCCACTCGCCACAGTTGGGTGTGAATGCGGGTTAAAAGACATTTCGAAAATAAATCCACAGTCCATACTGACACTCACACCTTTATTTTCAACTGTTTTGTTTCATCTAAACTTCCAAAAAAAAAAACCCCTTTTTCAAACAGTCTATTAGTTTATTTTTATTTTTCTTCATAATAAAGGATGAATATCAATATATATTGTTTCACATTTATGAAATAATGATAGATAAATAATTCTTTATTTATGTTCATAAAAAAAAAATTTGAATGCATATCTTATTTAAAAGAATAGAAAACAAAATAGGAAAGAAATTTCTCCTTCCATAAATACTTAATATCCTATTTTCTACGCATGTCTAAAAGTCAAGCGGGAACAAACTGATTACTAATGCTAGTAATCAATTTGTAGTCACGAGTAATCACTAGTAATTATTAGAAACATGTATCATATATTGCGCATCAATGAACATGGAAATAAAATTAAAATAAAAGTAGCACATCCTCATTCGCTCCCATTATATTCTTCATAAAAATAGCGTTCATTTTATACAATTCTACCGAATGATACAAATGGGGATATAAATATTTTGGTACGCGAACGATATATGACCAAATAGTAGTGAGCTATTGCTCAAGCCTTGATGCCCAGGCTCTTGATGTCTTCCATATCTCGTCTTATATATTCTCTTTCTCATAAAATGACCGAAGATCAAACACTTTCATTTCTGTTCATTTCTGTTCATTTCTATCTTCGTCTTTCTCAGTGACCACGTTTCTATTTATTTCTATATCTTTACTTTCTTTTTCTTTACACTGTGGTCACTTTCAAAATGTCCACTAACACTTCTATTTTGCCTGATAACATTATGGAATTCTAAGGCAATCATTTTTTTTAAATTTGTTCAAATCTTTTCTGGCGAGAAATTAGCCTCTCTTCTAGAATCTCAAGATATCAGCAATGTACGGTGTCTTCTTGCTTGTGATGCTCCTTTCAAAATTATGACTTTCGATTCGGATGATGTATTGGATTTGAAAAAGAAGATTTGCATTAAACTGAATAACAATGCATTTACTGTTTTACCCGATATTACAAGCAAGATGAAAATTATAAAAGCTGCGTTGCTCAAGAAACAAAATGAAATTAAACAAGAAGCACGAAAAAAATCTTTAAATGTCATTTCAACACATTTATCTGTTCCGAATTCATCATGTGTTTCTTCTTCATTGACTGTTGGTTTGAAGACTATACACGAACACAAAGAACATTTAATTCATTTACTAGATCAATGGTGTTCAAAAATGAACGTAGACCACCTTCAACTAAATTTTTAATTTAAAGAAGGCTTAGATTATGAAATTTTCATCAATCTCATTCCGAAAAAAGCATTGATAAAATGTCAATGCGGTTCAAACACAACACAGAGACAAAAGCACAATAATTTCATTGTAAGTCACTTCTTTCTGAACATTATATCTTACTTTTCAAGGAAAACAAATGAATATATATCTAAGTATTTAAATATTAAATCTAGAGGTGAGAGCTGAAGCGGTATAATAGTAGCTGATTCATATATGGATATTTTTTGAAATATTCCATACTGATTTTTCAGAGAGGTCGCATATGTTCTTCGCGGTGTTTTGTTGAGTTGTCGAAAAATTCTTCAGAGAGAATAAACGATCAGGTTAAACATGTATTGATATAAAATACTTCCAAATATAGATGAAGTTTCTATAGATTTGTATTACTGATATTGCTATAACTGTCTGAAGTACTGAATGTCAGTGTTGATCTTTGATACATTATATTTGTGTTATTATTCTGGACGATATTATTTTTGGATCGTCTTCTAACTAATCCTTTTCTGTCTTTCTTTGTAGAAGAACTATTAGTAAATTTTTATCTAGTTAAAAGATCAAAATCAGCTCTATGAGTCGTATAATAAAAAAGATTGTGATAATTTCTTTTCGAAGATTTTTGTGAATATTTTATGGCAATACTACTGATTGATATTGGATGTTTTATGAAAAATGTATATGTAAGGAAGAAACGGAAGAGAATGAATAAAGCACGTGCTAATGTTAATATTATCTCTACGGATTAGCATTATTGCCATCGATATCGACATTAAGTATCAATTTTTGAGTAGATGCCTAATTCGAGTTCGAAGATAAATGGAAAATTCAAAAAAACAATCTCAGCCATGTTAAAATAGCAAAAGATAAATTTTTATATAAATTATAATTTATAAATTCGAAGGCACCCATGGAATACTACCAGAATCACCAAACATTGACAGGTATGCTTCGAGACGCTACAATCATCACCTGGGATGCTACAGCATGCCATGGGATGCTGCAAGTGTCGATTAGAATGCTACAAGAACTATGTGAGAAGCTTGAGCTACCGTGCAGCACTTGGTAGACATGATGGTGTACACAAAGATGTGCTTGGCTCGCGACTCTTCGCGGGGCGCTGCGTGCCCCCACGCCGCGACGCTGATATAAATGGTTACTTATTCGGGCAAAGGGGTTTTCCTTCAGTTGATTCTCGCTTCAGTGGGATTTGCCTAGCCCTCCCATATTCTCTCTTAGCCCTCCTCCATGTTTCTCTCGAATAGTTGAACACTTGAAGTCGACTTTCAAGTTTGGCATGCATGCGAATTTATAATTTATAAATTATAATTTATATAAAATTTTACCTTTTGCTTTTTTGCTATTTTAACAGGAAAGTCTTTTTTTGCATTTATTTTCGAAGTTATAGTAAGCACAGCTCTCCATTTATATTCGAACTCGAATTAGGCAACTCATGAGAGTATATACTGTTGATGTTGTATCTGTTGCTACTTCTGTTTCGAATGATTCAATCATTACCCGCATCATCAGGATATAGATAACTGCAAATGACATGAATGCCCCCACGATATGACTATTGATTTAATTGACTAGCATTTTCCATACCACCAGCTATGCTGATGATGTCACCTAATTTCGTTAGTGACCAATGACTAGTGTGATCATTATTTAGATCATATGTGTAAAGATAGTTTCCATCTAAATCCACGATGAGTCATAACACAACGGTCGGTTATTTGACTTAGGTTGTCATCAAAATCTTTTCCACCAGCTATGATATGCAACGAATACATTGGTTCATCAAGAAGATATTTCTTGATTTCGTTGATTATCGTATCTGCAACATATAACTCAACGGTTTTGAGTCAGATAGAGTGTTGTTGGACGTATACGATCGACAAAACGTATAGTTTTTGATGTCCACCAAGATGATCCAGAACTTTATACTGCTAATATACAAGTATTATGTACGTCGGCTAGAGAGAGAGTATTCATTTGTTCATTGATAACTAAATCATAAAAAAACTAACGTCATCACCATTGCTTTATGCAACAATTCTATAAGCTGTATTTGTTGTCCAACATAGAGAACCGCTAGTCATGATTGCAGAATGTATGATAAAAATTTTTAAAAAATCTCGTTAAAACAAAAAGTAAAGATTGCTTAACACCATTTTTTATCATGATACTGATAATACTAATAGAAAATGAAAAATTTCCATCATCGAACTTCTACTGTTTTCGTTTGCCATTTTCTTTTTCTCTGTCTGTCAATACTTTCGCCTCCAGTTTCGATTGTGGCGAATTCATTTGAAAACACTTGTTTTTATCATTAAAATGATGGAATATGATCCGAACTTTTTACACTGAATGATGTAAATATTTCAGACATTAATTAATCAATTGAGCTTCTGCTACGTTTATCACAGTCTATTTTCAATCAAGTTCTCTAAGCTAAGCTTGTCTTCTTATTCAGAATGATTTAGTAATATGAGGAAAGATTTGAACTGATTACCGATGAACTCTTCATCAGCTGTCATATCAGGAATGTCGTGAAATGACTTTTTGCAGAAGAATTTCAAGGAAAATTTGAAGTATCAAGCTGAGATTTTATGCGAATTAGCGCACCCTTCGAATTGCAATTTTCTGTTGAGAAAAATAGTGAAGTACGTCAGGAAAAAATCGAAAATGACGATAACGTTGGTTCTTCATAGCGTGATGATCGGTTTAAATCGACTACAATACAAGACATTACTATATAATCAATAACTCATCGTACGACTGCTATTTTTATTTTGTATAATGATAAGAAACTTCCACTTGATAGATATTTTCTTGCAAATATGCACGCAAACAAAAGTGCTTGTCTCTCTCCTAAACTCAAAATTAGAGCTTCGATTTGTCGAGTGAGCATGCCAACTTGAATCTCAACACAGATATTTGAAGTACTCATTGACTTAGTGTATTTATGGAAAAGAATCCTTCCGAGAATAAGTTAAATGATTGCATAATACTTCGGTAATCTTTATTATGACTACTTTTGAAAAAAAGCAAGATATAAATGCTTTTCTTTTAATTTAGCAAATGCCTTCTAAAATTTTTACGTGATAACAGAATCTCCTGTTCTAGGGAAGAAAAACTGCTTCACGTCCTTGCCATCTTGACTTTAATATGAAATCTCATTGTTTCGTGCGTAAGTGAACTTTTCGTTCACAGGTGAGTGTAATTTTAGAAAAAAAATCCCTTTTTTTCTATCCAGTTCCATTTATTTTCGAACAGAGAGGAAAGAGAATAAACGAAAAAACATTAATCATCCGTTTTTTTCCTTTCAAGCCTAGCCGATAGAAAATCGTTGAACACGAGCATTTCCCCAATCTACCACATAGAGATTACTGCGACGATCGAAGGATAAACCCCTGAGACAGTTGAACTGATTTGCTCCTTTTCCTTCACCATTTCCACCCGCAATCACAGCACCCTTTTTTGCTCCTTGAAGCCAACGCATGACACGATCATTTCCCGAATCCGCGATATAAATGGTACCCAATGTGTCGACGAACAGTCCTTGAGGACTATATAATTGTGTCAGAGCATTTCCTTCGCCTTGACCTCCAGCGACAACAATTCCTTCTTTTGCACCTTTATTCCATTTCATTACACGATGATTGTCTTTGTCTGACACATAGACAGTCTGTTGTCGATCGACGAAGACAAAGGTCGGCCAGTTGAGTTGATTGAGATCAGCACCTTTGCCATTCCCACCAGCCACGATTATTCCATTCTTGTCTCCTTCTATTTGATATCGCCTTACTTCATGTTTGACGATGTCAGAGATGTAGAGATGTCTCTGATCATCCATAGCCATCCCTCGACAAGCGATGTTGTTAACGAGGATGTTCCCTTGAGTTGTGCCACTACGACGAGACCATTGTACGACTCGTCGATTGACTCTATCACAAATAATGAGGCTCTCCGTCTGTTTGTCGATCAACACATCGGTAGGACCATGCAATTGGTCCAATCTATTTCCTGGGCCATTGCTACCAGCCACGACTTGTCCATTCTTTGTATCATCCATCTTCCATTGGATGATACGATGTTTCCCCAAATCAGCGATATTGACTATCGTTTGGCCGTCATCATCGATGAAGAGACCGAAGGGACTGTTAAGTCCTTGAGCAACAGTCACACCATTCTGTGACCATCGAGCATTGATTGGAATTCTGGGTAGGACTACAAATCAAACATGAAAGTGTTTAAGAAGTCAATGCCATCGATCTTCTTCGTTAGAAAAAACAGCGACTCTAAATATTGGAGAGACAGAGAGAAAAAAGGAAGATTTTCTTTGTTCTCATAGAAATGAGAGTGAAGAAATCTTCTTGTTTTAATTCTCTTCATCAGAGAACTTCGATTTAATCTCGAAATAAAAGAGGATCAAAATAAACACAATGGAGAAGTGTTCAGTATGACTTCGCTCTTTCCATCGAAACGGTCTGCAAAAGATAAAAGGAGAAGAAATTCTATATCCTCATCATTGAGACCATCAAGCATTGCATGATAGAGTGAGTATGATTAGAAATGACACGAGATGTCAACATAAAAAAAGGAAATCATCTTGGACATCGTCAATGTTACAACGAGCATCTCATATAGTATACGTGCTACTTGCAATATTACGGATGACTGATAGATTGATAGAGACATCTGATGAGATGTGTGAGATAGTGCTTGTTCATTAGTTCGAATCGAATATGTCTTGTAATCCGGAAGAAAAAAATCCGGAAGACAAAAAATTCGGAAACCAAAAATCCGGAAAATCAAAAATCCGGAAAAGAAAAATCCGGAAAAGAAAAATCCGGAAAAATCTTCCACGTCTTTATAACGAACAAGAAAGGATAGTAGTCTTTCATAACTCTTTCCTATTCTCTTCGTCAATCATGATCATCGTCTGTCGGGTACCATCCTCTCTGAATTCGATTAGGAGGGAAT